AAAAAATTAGTCTTTCTCACGTTGCCTTTTGATGCGTTTTTACGAAAGCTTGTAGAAACAACTTTTTTTTTTTTTTTTTTGATTTGTCACGCGATCGAAACAGATTCGTCAGCGTCGCGACAGAATATGATAAAGGCGTAAATAAAATATGCTTGTGTAGGTCTAGATGATCTGATGATTTAGAATGATAATAGGAGTTTCCTGTTTCTATAAAAATTTGCTATCGGGTTTCTCAATGTGTGTTGCTAAATTTTTCGATGACTCAAACAAGTTTATATGACGTTTCGTGAATGCAGATTTTACATGTTCTTGAACCTACAACATATGTTCGTAAAATTATTAAAAGCAATGTTTGCACGAATTTACTTTTTCTATATAAAAAAAAAAAAAATAATATTTAACAAAATACAAATATCTAAAAATTTCAAATCTTAATTACAATTTTATATAAATTAATAACATTAAATTTTTTTACATACAATACATCATTAATATCACGTAGATGTTTTTTATAATATATCTATGTGTACGCGTATTTTAAAATATATAAATAAAATAATTACAATTTCAGAAAATATTTTAATGTTTCTTTGGATTTTATTTTATATTTGGACTCTCTCTCTCAAAATAGATTTTGTCGCTATGTGATGCTCTCAAGTTAACTTTTTTCCTCTTCATAAAATAGGTATTATGACCTAGGTCAGGAATCATTCGATAAAGCGCTCTGACGTAAGTCCCCTAAAATAATCTTGCACGATATTCTCTTGCAACTACCGTGATTTTGACATGCATCTATCACTATACATACTGATGATATCATCGATCATGTTCTGGTAGTAACTTATGTCTCACTGAGAAAATAAAAATTTCAAGGATGCGGAATAATTTTTGTTAGAGGGCGAGAGAGGAGAGCCTTTTAAGTGCGATCCGTTATCGATTCAATTTTTATATCGAATCCATTAATCCACGATAACAAATTGGAGCGTAATCGGTCGATGCGTTACGATAGGTCAGGACCGTGTCGTGCGACCGGCGATAAATATGACGACTTGCATAACCGCAGCTGCGCGCACGAGCACGTATCTGCGTCGCAAACCGCGCAAAAACACGATGTCGGTCACTTGGTGTGGATTCTTTTCTTGACAACAAGTTTCATATATTCGCGAGTCGTTCGTCAATAATCGTTATCGTGGCAGCGCACGCGCCTATGCCTGTTAGAGATAAAGACTTAGATAAAGATTACACAGTGACTGGTATTAGCTCGCTCGCCGCTATTTCCAGCGTGATATTACCGCGAACGGACGGCGCAATTCTCGGAATCGCTGACTAACTCGTGCGGTCGGCGGCCGACATAATAAATCGTGAATGATTCGCCGCTGGCTTGGAAACGCGGATAAGAGAGAGAAAGAGAGACTAGGAGCGAGCGAAACGAAATGACGCGCCGATGGTCCTTCTTTATAAGCGCCTTGATAGCGTAATCATTGATGATGAAGGAGAGAGGTGTCGAATGCGAAACGCTTCCTAGAAATGTAATCCGTTACTGTGTGATCTGCCGATCGCACTTGATATACACCGCAGTATTCGGTTACGAAAACTTATCCGTTCGTCCGTATATGACGCCCCCGGTTGTTGCTTGCGCAACAATGTTAGATCCAAGTCCCCGCGGCGTTGAACGCGCGACATGCAAATCATCTACATTTTACGATGCCATTACTGCGACCGTATTATATGATGTCCTCCGTTTAAACTAAGCCAGATGTTTGTAACTATAACTTGGACGTTGATTCCTTGGTCATGAGGCATATCGAGTCAGATGCAAATCGCGTGGAGATCGATCTCGGTTCTTCTCGCTTCAATGTATCGATACATCTAATGAGAGACGTCAAATGGCACAATATTAATTATGATCTTGTAAGATGACCGCGCTAAGAGCGATTTCTATCGGAATTTTATGCCGTGTTCTACGGAATCATTATTTATTATATCGTATGTATTTATTATTAACGTATTTTTCTCAGAAATTATCTCGCGATTAATCCTGACGACCGCAAAACATTGATACGCAATAATATTTGATACGTCTGTTCAAGTACTCTTGTTACAAGAACTGTTTCGTGCGCATAAACAATTCGGCACTGCGATTAAACGAACAAGATTAAAATGTATTTTACTCGCTATACGTATCTATAACGTGCTTGAAAATATTTCGCGCAGTTACGTTCGCACTAATAATAATCCATCAGATCTGCTGCTGGAATTCTTTTTTTGCGTCGCCTCGGTCGACGATAACAACTAGCATTTCACGATATTTTTACAACATGTGCTCGCAAAGAATTTGGAGGCTCGTATGTGACATCGTCAACATTGTGTTGGAGTCACGTCAAGGTTAGATAATAACTTTCTTGCATCAGCGCACGCGGTAGATATCATTCTCAGATAGTGCGGCGAATGTGTGTGTGCATATGCTAACTACGGAAACCGGTTAGTGCGCATTAAATTGGACTGCGGGCTACTATTTTTTTCCTCCGCCGTTACGTCCAACTTAATAGCTTTCACGTGTACCGCTGAGTTCTTATTTTTATTCCGGAGTTCCAACGCGGATCATTTCTTTTTTTTATGGTCGTCTTCCCAGTCGAATGCGAAGAATGCTTCGCCGAAAACGAAAGTTGGCCGTTGGCGTATTTCCTATATATTTTTAAAGCCCGTTTGGTTCAACGTACTACCCTCAATATATTTATTCGAGATATAACTCGTGAGAGAAATTGAAAAAAATAAATAAATATATGAGAAAAATTTCTAGATTATAATTAATATGTTTGAAAATTTCAAGCAATCGAGCCAAGGAAAAATATGCTCATTTTTTCATTGAGTTTCTATAATATTTGGGGATAACAATTTTTTGGGGGGGAGGGAGGTTCCTAGTAATTTTCAGAATATTTTTGTAAAGTTTAACTTTGAACGCGATATTGACAATAACTTTGTCGGGCGATTCGCGCGACTATTCACGTGTATTTTCAACGTGTCAAGAATTGCCAAGTTGCAGCGCAAAAAAAAAAAAAAAAAAAAAAAAGGGAAAAAACGCCGCGGCGCCTTCTTCCCGCGTTTATCGGCTCTTGTCTACATTGTTGATTAATCGCAGTGAAATACGAAGTAAACAACACTATTTACTAAGTGTGAAGGTTTCGTGTATGTGCGTGCGTGCGTGTGTGCGACGCTACTACACCGTCTGTCGCAAAACAAGTTTTCGTAATAACATGTTATATAACGACGTTAGTCATCGACGTGCGTCTAATACGCACAGCCTACCAATGCAAATTTTATTATTGGATCTAACAAAGATCTTAAATTGATGATGCGTACTGTAGAAAATATTGAGCTCAATGTGATAACAAGATTATAAAATACGGAAAAGAATATTCAGCAATTCTCACAACGTGAGTATAGATACTTTATATATACTTATCGCATCTGATATATTAGAATAGACTATTAAAATTAAATATGTTATGTTTGCTACTTTGTTGTGACAATTAGGAGAATTATAACATCCGGCATCGATAATATTTCGTAACATGGGGTTTTTTAATTAATTACATTTATAGTAGTTTTTAATTAACTTCTAAGAATTATATATTCATTTTAATTAAAACGATTTTAACTTAATTTTTAATATACATATTTTTGTTTCGAGACACGCACTTTGTGTGTATGCTTTCGCACTTAAATTCTTTCTCTCTCTAATCACAATAAGAGTGTTTCTCAATGGAAAAGAGTAGCTTAAATTCAGAAGAATAACAAAACGATACAAAACCGCGATATCGGATCTGAATCACACATTCCAACAATTTATTTTTGCAAAAGTGCTATAAATTTTATTGAGGAAAAGTAAGAAAAAAGAATACAACAAGATTGCAAAAATTCTTTCCGATAACAGACCTAGAAACCGAATAAATGGCACATTGTATAATGCAAGCGAGTGTTCTCTGCGAAAAACGGTCGCCTGCCTTCGACAGTGCGCAATATTTTCGTGACCCTGGACTGACATTGCCAAACAACCAATACATGCGGCGATAGAGGGACGGTCTCGCTAGAGTGGAGGCCAAGGTCGCGGGTACCCCACTCCACCCACCCCACCCTGGCTTGCTACTATGTTGACGCCTATCGCTCGCCTGCCCGCTCGTCTTCCTGGTGACGCAACTATGTGTTGCACAGCTCGAACCGACTATTATGGTCGTCGTTGTTGTAATTCCCGTTCCGCGCCGGGTATCCTGGGAAGCCACCTCACTGGCGCCTGTTGTTCTATTTTATCGTTTTAATTTGCCTATAGCGGAATCTCTTCTGTGTGTTCGTCGAGCTAAGCAATTGTTGCGCAATAAGGAAATCAATGTTTATTTGCGAAGACATCAGAAATATACAACTATAAATAATTATTGATTTATTTCTGTATCGTCGAGCATTAATCTTAATTTACGAACACTAACGAAATTATATATATATATATCACACACACGTACGTGCGAATTTACAATTAGAAATATTTCGTTTTCATTGTCGCACATATATAACGGAAGCATGCCTTACATGACGAGGGTCATACACTGGCATTCTTGGGGGAGAAAGTTGTCAAGCGAGAGGCCGAGGGTCCAGGGTTATTATGAATCGCGAAAAATTCACTGGAACACGAACTTTTTCGTTGGAAGCTCTTTAAAGGGCTCGATCCTAGTGAACCATGTCGTTTGATATCAATATTCATATTCAACATAACAAGAATTTTCGAAAATAGATGTGTATATATAACAGAACGCGTGCAAGAAATATATGGATAATGCACATAACGTATAAATGTTTTATCTTTTATCCTTATATTTGTTTAATATTTTTTAAATAATCTTTATTTTCGAAAATAGATGTGTATATATAACAGAACGTATAAATGTTTTATCTTTTATCCTTATATTTGTTTAATATTTTTTAAATAATCTTGTTTTGTCTGCTTGCAGACAAAGCTGTGGCGCCAACGGCATCTTCTCCCGTCGTCTAGATTTCAGCGCTTTCAACAGTCTGCCCCGCACCAAACTTAACTCCTACCACATCAAGGTGAGTAATTAATTACCTTGCTACTTTTTGACATAACGAAAGTTTCGCTTACGAGCTGTACGAATTACAACACACTGTTTTGTTAACGAAATCAACTGACGCGACGTGATGAATTGTTGGCTTGTTGGCGATTACAGATTACGAGATATATCGCGTAGAATAGTAATCAATTCAAAATATTACACTAGGAAAGAAATATTTCTTAAATTAGATATTTTCTCTTTTAATTGCTTCAAAATTATGAACGAAAAAAATTATTTTTGTTTATTATGTAGCTGTATGACGGGTTGTAATAATTTGGCATATTTAATTAAACACGGATTTACATATGTATACATATGTAATAAGGTACAAAAACTAACTTGATAGATGGAGGATTAAACCGATATTGGTGACCAGCTTTAATCGCGTCGTAGGAGCTCGTTAAATTAATCTCGGCCGAGAGACCGTCCTTTCCACATGCGTAAATCAGGCATAAGCTACGCCCCCGGTGAATCCTTTCGCATACACACACACATACATCCCGTTCTGTAACACTGTCGTCCTACCCTAAATACGAGGGGAAATCAATACCCGAGTAAACCGAATAGCGTGCATGTGTCTCTTTGCGCGCGCGCGCACGCACGCACGTACGTACGTACGTGCGCTTATGTCGGTATTAAAAGAATACTTTTACTCGCCTACGACTTTTCCCTTGACCTGTGCTATTCCTGTGCGACCAGTGCAAAGTCTGCTTTCACCTGTGATTCAACCGACTTATTCACCTATTAACTAATCGATTAACTGGCTTACTCAGAAAGAGATGGAGAATATCGTTAATCCGGGATTAGTTAACCTGGATTATCAATGCGACTCGTAAACTTTTTTATACCGATGCCTCGACCAGCGCTAATTCTGGTTAACCGACGCTTCTTTATCCGTATCTTTATATTGCGAGATAATAGAATCGAGAAAGAGGCAACATGGAATTTGATATTCCGTGATTAATCCAAACCGTTGATTTAATTTTGTTAAACAGTGTAATAACTCTAAATCTAAATGTGCTATTATGGTTTACTTGTATAAATCCTACATTTAAAAAACAAACTTTGAATATTTTATTGTTATATGTTTTTATTGATATACATTATGTTAATGCAGAATAGAAGTATATAAATATATCTATATTTTTATATTTATTCAATTAAAACGCGTTTCAACGCAAATTTCAATTAATGACAAAATATTACCAATGCAAATGTAAGCGAAACTTCTATAAACCATGCATTATTAACGAGCTTAATAAATTATGTAAATGCATTTTGACCTTACGTAGAATATTATACAATAGATGAAGTATGAAAAACAATCAATTTCAATATACATTGTAGCTTGAGATTTCGATTCGTTGAAGCGATAAATGGCGAGCTTTTAATGTTTCGCGTTTATAAAATGCTGCGTTTATCTTGAATTTATTATATGGAGCAAAAAAAGTAGCTTTTTTGAGGGGGATGGGGCATCTATAAATGATGCACGCCCCAACTCTCGTTCCATAATACTTGACAAACTTTGACCGATCTGACCTCGACCTTCAAACTGCCTGCCATTTCGGCGCTTGTTTGCGGGAACGGAGAAAGAAAGGATAACTGGTAAAACAGCCAGCCGGCTGTTCCCCTCTCTGAATTAGGGTACGTATTCTCGCGCAGGGTTTCAACTTATCTCGATAGAATCACCCGAGCTGTATGTATTTTCGTCAGGACTTGTGTCGGCCCGAGCAATCGTCAAAGTTTAAGAAGTTAACGACGCGGCTAATTAGCGCCGTCGAAACTTGGAAGCGTTGCGTTCCTCGCGCGATGTTGCTAATCCTACATCTGTTACGTTATTATTTCTTGTCGTTACTGTTATTATCGACATGTGGCGGAAATAAGAGCAATCATTTTTCCCGCGACTTTACGCGCGGCGCCGCTCGTTACGACACGTTCATAAAATCCATCCTGGCTATTTTATTAGAAAGCACGTGTGTGTACCCTTCCCTCGATCATTTTTTTCGGCTTTACCAACGGTGGGCTTTATTACAGTTCGACGTGGCGTTTATAGCCCGCAGCGAGAATTGCCTCGCAGAAACGGCATTAACACATGGCTTTACTCGCGGAGAAAATCTGCCTAAATATACGATACTACCGTTATTATTGATGAATCGTTTGCGATAATATGGATATATTTTATGCAAATAAATTGTCAACTAGACGAAAATGTTTCCTGATATATCCGCGCTTTATTTTCGTGATTAGAAAAATAAACTCAATGTGCGTATCTTTTTCTACGTTGCGGTTTTGCATTCTTTTATCAGCGAGTATTACGCGATGAAACTTTCCGTGGCCGTTCTCGAACGGCCCGTTCTGGCAACGAACCGGCACGACGACCGCTGCTGTGTGTTGCTGGTTCCAGTTTTTCAATAATACCGGTTCTCTCAGCTTCGCCGGCCGACTAAACCTAACATGAGCCGTTAGGTAACTCGAGGGAGATCGATCTCGCGCGCGCGCGCGTGCTACGGACGTGTGTGCACGCATCGCGTCGTGCAGTAGCAGAGATGGTTACGCGGGGAAGGACGGGCAGAGGGGACTGGAGGAACCAGGGCATCGTCATAAACCCCTCTGTTGGAAACCCTCGAAACACACCCAGCGAATCCTCCCATGGCAACCGCGTCCCCGTAGCAATCGTTCCGTTCTCTCTTCCCCGTGTAACCCTCTTGTATCGAGGGTGGATTACCCCTTTCTGCGTTGCGCGATGCGAATTGCAAAATGCAAGGTTTGCCTTTTGCGCGCTGAATACCGATGTGCACCGCCGACAATCCCCCGGAGTCACTTAAGACCGGGGGATTTTGCCGCCGTGAATTGGAAGTCGTGGCGATAACTCCTCCGTTAAGACAACCCCCTCCGTTGCCGTCGAGGCGAGGAAAAAACAGAATCTTCTCCGCGCTTCTATCGTCGTCTCGAACCCTTTGCTTACAATTTTTATCGCTCTGCTTCAGTTGCGGATTCTGCACTAATAATATTTATAAAGAGAAGTAAGATTAGCAAAAATATATAAATTTTTTTTAAACTTTGTTGCGTGCGCAATCTGTGACGAACTATCGCGAATTTCGTGTGAACGACCTCGCGGTTGCGTCTGACGATAAATCGGACAGGAGGAGCAATGGGAAAATGGGAAAGTGGCGTGCTGCGATGCAGTAACAGTAACTCGACACGTGGCTTATGTAGACACTGAAACTAGGAGTGGCTTGCATTCGCATTTTATGCTTCGCGCTGTGTGTCTTATCTATGTTTGTTTGCAAACGAAAGCGACGAACATTTATAAATTAATAGCGCAATATTTTACATATTATATATTTTATGAATTTTGTAATATAATGTAACATAATCTTAATCTCGTAATTCTAATATAATTTTAAATAACAATGCAGCGTGTATTTGCTTTTGCAATGCATTTTCTGGTGACTAAGGGTTAGTAAATCGAAAGTAATATCTCATAATTCGTCATAAATTCGTATCTATTGCCTTTTTTTTTTTTGTTTTGTAACTATGTAATTGAATCATCACTGTTTCGATGTAAATATCGGTAGTTTATTTTTACGTCATGAATTCCCTCCCCTCCCAAGTGTGCGTGCGAAGCGGTTGAACGACACGAATATTATCATTTCGTCGAATACTCGATACGCTAAGCGTTACATTAGCCGCGATAGTTTATTATTGCAAAGTCCGCGAACTGCGGTTCTTTATCTCACGACTCGATAAATATTGTTTCTCCGAGCGCTGTGTGACGAAGATAAATGCATCGAATGTCAGCGACGCCAGCTTGCAGAAAATACTGAGCGGGCAAAATGTCAAGTACACAATATTCTGTTTCTTTCACCCTCCTTTCTTGCACAAATAAAATAGAGAGAGAGAGAGTAAAATATAAATAATAATATATGCAATAATAATAATATAATTAATAATAAAATTAAAATAATTGGAAAGAGAAAACTCGCGCACTTTCTATATACTTTTAGCTTTTTAGAAAATGTAATACACAATTATTATTTTAGACAAAAGAATACGATTTTTTTTCCGAAATAAATTTTGAGCGTGAATCAAGTGCCTTACCGGAGTCAACGCTTATGCCGAGCGTTATATTTCGCCGCTGAATGCATTATGTTGGTCTTATTATCTCGGCCTAGCCGGTTCTGATAAGAGATTGTTCCGTTAGCAAACATTCGCAAACTACGCTTTTTCCGTCAAGGACATACGGTGCGAAATGTAAACTGCGTCGAGCGTTTTTTCGGGTTGCAATTTAATTTTTTTTCTCTAAAACTATGTAGAGTGCAAAGATGCTTTAGTTGATTTAAATTTTTATGCATTTTTTTAGTTCAGTCTTTTCAAAATACTAATGTTTAGTTGATTGAATTTAATTGAGTGAAAAAAAGATTTTAAAGAATTTTCTAATATATATAATGTCTATGAAACTACTTACTCTCTTCCTCAATACGTTTCTTCTTTCATTCATATTTACGTCATTTACACGAATCGGTGAAACAAAGAAAGCAAAAAAGGACTATAAAAACTGTACAGATCCACGTCATAGACGAGAGCGATCCATCTCGCAAAGGATTCGCGTAATTTTCTCGAGGATTGCGCGGGGAACCCTCGTTGGTCTACGCCGAGTGGCGCTAGAGCTCTGAATGATACTCGTGTTCGAGGGGGCAGAGATTAATTAAAAGGACCGCTCGTAAGAACGACGTCGAAAAGCTTTTCTCGTAATTCAGCCGTCCTGGAAAAGATGAAAAGCGAGGTCTTCCTTTCTTCAGCGTCCTCTCGTGCTTCGCGAATCTCCTCGCGTCGCGTCGCGTCGCGTCGTCTCGCTCGTCGATTCGATGGACATTGATTCCCAATGAGCTGACGCTGATGTACGACGGCCGCTTCCGATCACCTCGAGCTAATAGAAAACGTCCGTGTGGATTTATTATGTACCATGTGTCGTCG